TTACTTCCACATCTAGGAACAAAGAAGAAATTGAGCTTTATATAGATACATAGAGAGAGAGCACACTATTAGAAAAAAACTTTTTTTTTTTTGAAGAATGCTAAGGTTTTCACTTGAGGAATTTATAATCAAAAGAAATACCTGGGCTCAGTCACTGGCTCTTTATCCTACAGGATATGGATTTTAAATAAAACATTAAGAAGGCCTATTGAGAAGTTTTACTAAATAAGGAGCACTCTTCTTGAATCGCTGTGTGTGCTTGATTTACTGTGTCTACAGAATCAGAATTACAGTAGTGCTTTCCAGTGAACTGCTTCACTGTTGAAAACACTGAGACAAGAGATCTGGCCACAATGTTTCTGAAGGCTTTGGAGAAAAGAGAGCACCCTAAAAGGGGATATGTTTTCCATAAAGATCAATACAAAATATTAGGTAATGTATAAAAGCTCTTCCTTTTGCTACCAGTTCAGCAAATGGCTCTTTGTGTGTGGCATATAGATTGAAAATATGTAGGTCATGCAGGAAGTACCAAGCATGTGACAGAACCCTTAATATTCATTATTTTCATATGGAAAGGATTTCATAGCAGAGCAATGGGTTAATTGCATAATATGATTAGTTCTGATGTATTTGCAGTGATTCTTAGCACAAGAGCAAACACGAGATACCGGAAACAGGAGAGGTTACAGTTATAGCTACATTGCCACGAAGAGACAGGTTGACCTGGAGGGGGAAAAAAATCACATTTTATTAACAACAGGGCAATGCATATGCGCAATGTAATTGGATTTTTAGCACTCCTAGCTTGTTTGCTAAGTACTTACTTTTAATGTTTTTTACTTCTTGCTTAATAATTTCTCTTAGTGCTTGAAGCATTTTAAGAGCTGATAATTTTCCATCTTCATCTAAAAACTTCAACAAGTACTTTTCTTTTGGATTTCTTTTGAATGTTAAATAATAATAGGCTCCAGTGTCATCACATTCATCCAGCTGAAGTCTTGCAACAGGCATTACAAGCATGATGTCGAACTCATTTGGTTCAGTTATCTGCAAAGCATGCAAATACAACAGTCAATTTGCAGTTTAGGTTTTATTCCCTTTAGGCTTTTATACCTGTTGTGGTTTTATCTACAACTGCCTTGGTGTACTTGGAATCAGAGAATTGTTTTGGTTGGAAGAGACCCTCAAGATCATAAAATCCAACTGTTAAGCTAGCACTGCCAAGTTACCACTAAACCATGTCCCTCAGCACCATGTCTCCCATCTTAAATACCTCCAGGGATGGCAACTCCACCACTTCCACGGCCAGCCTGTTCCAGTGTTTGACAGCCCTTTCTGTGAAGAAATTTTTCCCAATATCCTCCCCTGACGCAACTGGAGGACGTTTCCTCTTGTCCTATTGCTTGTTACTTGGGAGAAGAGCCTGACCCCCACCTGCCTACAACCTCCTTTCAGGTAGTTGTAGAGAGCGATAAGGTCTCCCCTCAGCCTCCTTTTCTCCAGGCTGAACAACCCCAGTTCCCTCAGCTGCTCCTCATAAGACTTGTCCTCAAGACCCCTCACCAGCTTCATTGCCCTTCTCTGGACTTCTCATGTCTGGAGTGAAAGATGAGCTCATTTCAGTGGATTTGTATTACAAGATTGCTGTGCATTTGTGTGGAGAAGAGCAATTTACCGATAGCTGTTCATTTCCCAGCTTCCCAACTTATTAATTTTTAAGAGACTTTTTAAGATTCCTGAGCTGTTCCTAGTAATGCATAAAGTGCTGATCTTAGTCATCCCTTCTGCACATGGGAATCAGCTGTGAGGAAATAAAAAGATAAAATGCATCGCTATGCCTGAAGCTGGTTAAAAAAAAAGAAAAAAAAAAAAAAAAAGACATCCCCATATTTGACTTTGTTTCAGATTGAGCTGGAACCGGAAAAAAAGAAAAAAGAGGGGAAAAAAAGAGAAAAAAAAAAAGTATTGCTATTTCTCCTGGTTTTGGAAAAAAAAAAAAAAACCAAAACCAAAAACAACTGAAAATTGGCACAGGGTCTTTCATGGCCCAACTCGTCCTCGGGTCCCACGGGCTACGCAGGGGCAGGGGCTTGCGGCGGCTCTACAGGGGGTCCCGTTCAGGCAGCGACTTTTATTAAAGGCACGTAGGTTCATCTTTCCGTAAATCGGCTATTTTACAATTAACTCTTGTTAACTAACGTAGCAATCCTTAAAGTCTCTACTCCTCGGCAAGGCCCAGCTTTCAGCCCTTCCCGAGCGGCGGGAAGCCCGCTTCTGCCCGCCAGCCGCCCGCGGG